TGGAGTCCCCATCCCTGGAGGTGTCCAAGGAATTCCTGGACGTGGCTCCTGGTGCTCTGGGCTGGGGACAGGGTGGGGATTGGGCAGGGACTCAGCCCTGGAGGGCTTTTCCAGCCTCAGTGATTCCACGATAACTCAAACACTTCACAGAAAAAGCAAGAAGCTCTTTAGTGCCGCTGCTCTGCAGCTCCTGAAGTGCTTTGATGGCTCAGTGGAGTGACACAAATTAACAGCCTCATTAACAACCCTTCTGCCAAATCCTCAGGAACATCTCTGAAAGGCTGTCAGTGACAGTGTCAGACACAATCCACACTCCAGGGACATGACTGACTTTGGAACCACTGCCAAGGAAGGCTGAAAGAAGCAAGAGGGGAACTCTGCCTTCTCTGAGGGGAAACTGCAGCAGAGAGAGGGAGGAATTCCAGATGAACCCCAGCAATGCTCCCATTCCCAGCCCAGTCCTGCTGGAGCAAGGAAAAATTATACAGCCAAGCTTATCCCAAGGATTTCTGTGCAAAACTCATTTCAAACCCGTGCCTGGAATGTGTCTGTGCCTCCTGGAATCCAATTTAATTAATCCAGGGTAGGAGTCCCTGGGGAGTTCCCAAACTGCCTCCTAAATCTGGTTACCTGCATTTTAAAATGCTCTTTTCTGGCATGGCTGGATTGGTCTGTCCTGGCCACAGAGCAGAAAGATTAATGCAGAAGTGAGGACTGGAAATCATCAGCTCGTGCAGGAACAGCCTGAATCAGCTGGCTTTAATAGGGATGGAATATTTGCAGGGCAGGATGTAATTCCCACATTTCCATAGTGCAGCTTTACTGGTGGCACCCTCAAACCAAGCCTGGCTCTGGATCAGTTCCCAGGCCAGGTCACCCATCCAGGACGCACTGAGCAGCAGATGGTGGCAAGGGTCGCCTTTGCTGTGCCAAATAATTCAAACCAAACCCTCAAAATGCCATTTTGCTGTTTTGAAATGGAATGTTGAAGGTGGAAAGATGCTCAGAGCTGCCCAAGGCCTGGGATCACAGGTGGGTGAGCAATGGGCAGGATCCCCAAAATGGAAAATTATTAAAATCAATCAGATCATAACAGATGTGCTGGAAGTCCTTGACACCTTCTTGGAAATACCAAACTTCTGGCCAAAATATCTTGGGAATAACAAGGTTTTCTCTCCCACAGACACCCCAAAAGCCTTAAAAGCAATTTTAACCCAGCAACAGGGAAGCTTTTCCACATTGTGAGTTTACAATGGGGTGCTGCATACGATGCTTAAATAAATTCTCCTCTAGCAATCAGAAACGAAGAGAATTATTGAAAAGAAGAACAGAGAAGTGAACCTAAAATTAAAATGCACTTACACAATTAGCTCTGAGTTGGAGATACTGCTGCCCTGAGAACATGGCAATAATTGCTGAGGTTTCTATAGAATTTCTAACCCTAAGGCATGTGGAGCTCTTTGCACATGCTGAGAACACTTTGCTGATAAACCAAATTAATCTCTGGAGAGGAGAGAACCAGCCCAACACATTCAAAGGTCACTTGAAACAGAAGGCAAGTAGGTGGAGAACAAATTTCTATCCATAATAGAGTTTATTCAGGTACCAAAATGAGTTTTAAATCCTGTTTTGGACCTCTGGAATGAGTGGAGAGACTGGCAGAGGACTGGGAGCTGGATTGAGAATGTGCTGTGAGGGATGTCTGGGGTTTATCTCAGTGCAGGTGTGGATGTTGCCCTTGTTATTTAAGTGGGAAGTTTCCAGCAGGTCTGGGCTTTGTCAGGAGGAGCTGTTGGACATTCCAGCTTCAGGGAATGGGGCCAGCAGAGCCCTGCTCTGGCCCATGGATCCCTAATTCCAGCTGCAAGGCAGATCCTGCCCCACCACAGCACAGCTGTCTCTGTTTCCCAAAGCACCAATGGTGCAGTTAAAGGCAGACAAAGCAGAGTTTCATTTCATTTCAAAGCTCAAGGTGCCCTGCAGAGCCTCGGCCTCCCCACCAGACACAAACTGCTGCACAACTTCTGATCCTCAACTTGTATTAGGCCAAATAACAAAAGGGGGTTTAGCTTCACTCTAATCTCTTCTTCCAACATCCAGGCATATTTAAAGAGATTATCTTTCGAAAATTGAAGGAAACTGTGGTATTTTAAAAGTCTAATCCCCTCTCTCCTTTGTAGGAAATAAGATAAATATCTTGATTTCACTCAGCACAATTACAAGAAGTTTTTCTCTTATCAGGAGCTCTCTGTTCCCTCCAGTGAGGCATTTTTGGAGCTGGGACAAGGCTTCAGCAGTGTGCTGCTCTTTGGGGAGCAGGGTTTGGGGAAGGAGGCTCCTCTGACACTTGGGCTTTGTGGGACCCCCACATCCCCAGACCTGAGGGCTCCTCTGCTCCTGGATCCTGCAGCAGATCCCAAATCTCTCCTGCTCTCCCTGACTCAGCCCAAATCTGAGGGACCTCTGATGGTCACAGCTCCCTGTGCCCTGCTCAGGACCCCTGGCAGCCCCCCAGGCACAGGGAATTCACACAAAGGCTGGAAAACCACGCCAGGGAAATTGGAACCTAAGTTTGGATGTAAATATTGGCAAAACTTCATTAAAAAAATTAAAAAGCTCCTTTAATAAATGACAAAACTCTTGTTTTAGTTGTTGTTGAGTCTAATCATCCCCCGTAGTTTTAGAGAATCCCTTTAGAGGTTGGCAGCTAATGAAATTTAGGTGAAAACTAAATTACCTCTTGACTATTTAACAATATTAGCATTTCCAGGCAGCAATCAGATCCCCTCAGCTGGGGCTTGGTCTGGAGCCACTTCTGCTGGCACAGGGAGCTGATCCCTGAACTGAAACCTCTGGAGTGGAAAACACATCTTGAGCAACCCCTGGCTGCCCTGCCCTGGGCAAAATGAATGAAATATCACTGAAATCACCATTTTAAAATTCTCATCATTTGCTGTGTTTCTCAAGCTTTTGCTGAGGAATTTCCAAAAAAATAAAATAATTTAGTGAGAATGTGCTTTATCAGCACCTTGGCAAGGGAGGAAGCTCTTTCCTGATGGTGCCATGAGTAAAGGAACTGCTGGAGAAGGGACAACACAGACCCCAACGCTCTGCAGGTGCCACCAGCACAAAAACTCCTCACTCGATTCCAAAATGCCTCCAAAAATGCCCAGTGCACATCCAGTGTGAAACAGGGAGCGCTGGGGAATGGAGGGAAGAGTGAGACAGAGGGATCCACTTGGGGTTAATGAACTTGTAATGAAGAACCTGTCAGAGCTCTGATTCATCTTGCAGGATCATTAAAATTGCCAGGCAGAAATGTTAACCCTTTCCAGCACTGAGTGTGCTGCTGTGCCTTGGGAAGCTCCGTGGTCCCTGCCTTAGTGCCCAGGGAAGGATGAGGGACAGAGGAACAGGAGGAGATGTTTTACCTGTGAGTGCAGATCTGTGAGACACCTGCTGGGTGCACCAGGAGCAGCTCTGAGGAGCAACCTCTGCCCTTCCTGAGCTGAGCCACGGCTGCAGCCCCTGAAATCCCACCCTCACAGGTGGGGTGGGGTCACTGCTCCACCCCCAGGACCACCCTATGCTCTGGGAAATGCTGGATAAGAGCCAAACATCCCAAACCACTCAAAAATCATCCCAAACCACTCAAAAACCATCCCAAACCATTCAAAAACCATCCCAAACCACTCAAAAACCATCCCAAACCATTCAAAAACCAGCACAAACCATTCACAAAACCAGCACAAACCATTCAAACACCCACAGAAACCATTCTGTGTTTACAGGATTCTGTGATCACTCATCCTTTTGCTCCACAGCAGCTCTGACCTCTTTCCTACAACCAGCAGGGATTTCTTTTTATTCCAATGCACCCTTGGAGCTGTTAAACCTCTAAAAACTGGAGCCCTGAGTTGCTGCCCTCCCGTTCCAGTGGCAGCAGGGAATGCTGGGGTTCACCGCATTTCCAGCCCCCCCAAAGCGCTTGTTTGTTTTTCCCCACTTTGTTTCTCTTGGATCTTTCAAGAGAAAAAATCAGGATTTTTTTTTTTTCCTTTGGAGAAATCCAATTGACATTTGGAGACCTTTCAGTGCTGCAAAATGAGTGGTAAATAAAGCTCTCACTAGAGCTTTCCCTGAAGAGACCAATGCAGTGCTCTGAGCACTTCTGAGGGGAAATGGGAGCACACCAGAGTGACCTCCCTGACCCAGATGTTCCAGAGTTTGTCTGCTCTGATCATTGCTCAAATATATTTCACCCAAAGTCATCTTCTTCGCTGTGGTAAAATTTCACAACTTGTTTTATCCAGGAATTCCAGCAATGCTGACCTGGCTCCCCATCCACTTGTGCTGTACAAGAGTTTAATGATTCATGGAAGCAGGAGTTTGTTGGTTTGTGTTGAATAAATATCTACTCATGACAGAAGAAATGTAAACAATCTGTTTCAAGGGGAACACAGCACTTTTCAGATGATTTTGGCTTTTTTTCAGTCTGGTGTTGCACAGAACCCTGAACACCCAGAAACCCCCACCTATTTACAGTTCATTATTGTGCTAATTTTTGTCACAGCTGAGTTCAGCACAAGCTCTGTCCCTCTTTCCACTGCTCTCCCTGCCAGGGGACAAAAACCAGCTGTAAAATCCCACTGGCACAACATTTACAGAAACTTTTGGTCCCTTTCCTAAAGAAGATGCAGCAGGCAGCATCCACGAGGTCAAATTGTTCCCTTCAGACCAAGTGACGCCAAAATCCACACACAACTTCCCCATTCTCCCAGCTCTAGAACATCCTCCCAAGAGAACACCGGCGACATTCTCTCCCACTGGGACATCCTCCTGTTCTCCTGAGCACACCTCTGGAGAACCTGCTCCCTACAAACCCATCCCAGCACCCTCAGGATTGCTTTTGCCCCATCCCTTTCCCATTTTTACCACCAAGACACGACAAAACCGACGCTAACCCCGTCCCGGCTGCGGCGGCCGCGGGCCGCGCTCACCTCAGCACGTGCGTGGAGCCGTTGATGGTGGTGGTGGAGCAGGGCACGGTCTGGCCCAGGATGGAAGGCCTTCGGTAGCGCTCGTCACCACAGCACAGGATGATGAGGAAGGCACGTCTGAAAGCCTTGTTGAGGAAGGCGTAGAGGAAAGGGTTCAAGCCCGAGTTGATGTAGCCCAGCCACAGGAAGGCCGTCCACAGCTTGCCGGGCACCGTGTAGTTTATGAAGGGATCCACGATGTTGGTGACGAAGAACGGGGCCCAGCAGAGGCAGAAGCAGCCCATGATGATGCACAGGGTCTTGGCAGCTTTGGTCTCGGTTTTCATGCGGTGGGTGCTGTGCTGGTCAGGGGGGTGCTGCCGTGGCTCCTGTGGGTGCTGCCGTGGCTCCTGTGGGTGCTGCCGTGGCTCCTGGAGGTGCTGCCGTGGCTCAGCCGGGTTCCCCGCGCGCTGCAGCAGCCGGATCTGCCGCGCGTGTGCCCGCGCCGTCACGTAGATGCGGTGGTAGGCCAGCACCATCAGCAGGAAGGGGATGTAGAAGGCCACCACGGAGCAGGTGATGGCGTAGGGCTTGTTCACCATGAAGATGCAGTAGGTGGAGTTGGAGGCCTTGTTGAACTGTCTTTGCTGGATCTGGGGCGCGGAGGGGAGGATAAGGAGGGAGGAAGTGGGAATCAGAGTTGGCTCGGGAGGGACCTTAAAGATCATCTTGTGCTACTCCCTGTCATGGGCTGGGACACCTTCCACTAGAGCAGGTTGCTCCAAGCCCCGTCCAGCCATCCTTGGACACTTGGACACATCCACAACCTCCCTGGGCACCCTGAGCCAGGCCCTCACCACCCTCACAGGGAAGGATTTTTTCCTGGTATCCCATCTAACCCTGCCTCTGGCCATTCCCTTGTCCTGGCACTACCAGCTCTTGTTTATTCTACCAAGAGAATCATTCTGCTTCTTATTTAGGCGAGAGCTGCAAAGGCCAAGGGGACCCAGGACTCCAGAGGTCAGGGTTCAGCTGGGGCTTGGCCTTTTTTCCCAAGGATTCCTGACTGAACTGAGAGTCAGTTTGGTAAAATCCTCTGCCAGGGCCACTGCTGTGTCAGTCCTTCCAGGACAGAGCCACCCCCCCTTAAAGATCTCCTCCAGAAATTCAGCAGTGGCAACAAGAAGTTTCTCCTTCTTTTTCCCTTTCCCTGAAAATTTGCTTTTTAAAGAACATCCAGCACCTAACACATTGGATTGGTGTCCGTCCCTGGCTACTCACCAGGTCAATGATGCCAATGCTATTCCAGCCTTGCATGATAGGGAGGAAGGAAATAAAGGTTGGGATGACCCAGCAGCCTCCCAGCATCACCGCGATGCGCAGCGGGGTCATCTTGTTCCTGTACACCAGGGGCTGGCAGCAGATGGCATAGTACCTGCAGGGCAACAACAGGACAGAAAAAGGTCAGAGGATACTCCCAAGCCTCCTAAAAATTAAATTGTAAAGCCCTTTCTCCAGCTGTTTCTCCTGCCTTTCAAACCAGAGGGAAAACAGGAGTCTGTAGCCCGCTTCTGCTGGGTCTCTCCCAAACTTGGGACTTGCAAGGAAAAACCAGAGTTTTCTGCTTTCCAGCCAGGGAGACTGAGGCACAGGTAAATGCTCTGGGCTGTCTGAGGTCCCAGGGGAAGGGAGAGGTTCCATAATCAGCCCTGCTCTCCCTCTGCACTGGGGATGTCCCCACCCTCCAAGGAATATCCCTTATTTCCAGCTGGATTTCCTGCCTGCGCTGGACATTTATTTTGACAAGGCTGCAAAAGCTGTTACCACGAAATAACAAAGTCTCCCAAAGCTGTGAAAATGTCGGTAAAATGAAGAGTGTTGTTCCATTTTCCAGGAATCCACCTCTTTTCCAGCTGGGCTTTAACATTCCCAAAGGTGTCTTGGCACCCTCAAGGGGATGTGGCCTGATCCCTCCTCCTGATCCATCCAAAATATCCCAAGTACAACAGATGCCTGCTCCTAAACCAGCTATGACCTAAAAATGTCTTCTCAATGAGAAAAGAAATCAAATTTTCTGTTTGTTTGATCCCTGCAGGTGGATCTCTCCATCAGGAAGGGGTAGCAAACCTAAAACTGGAAATCTCTGCCTCTGAAATTATTATTTATCCCTATGAAAACCAGATCAGCAAATATCCAATTGCAGACTTTCAGTGGTCCTGACCTGACAGTCAGTCTCAGGTTCCCAATAAAATATTTTTTGCTCTTTGAATTTTTGGATTTAGCAGACTCTGTAAAAAATTGTATGGGGAGGGCAGAACCATGAATTAGAGGAATTAAATTAGCAAGCACACGTGTGTTAAAGGGCTGCTCTCTGAGATGTGCATTTATTTAATCAAGATTTGAGTGAGACCCAGGAGTTTTGTCCTAAACAGGCACAAAAATATAAGAATTTCTGTTTTTCCCTAAGTTGTTTTTTTTTTTTTTTATTAAAGTCATGTGGAGTCAACTGAACTGCTTTATTTTGATAAAATCAGATGATATATTCCACACAGAGGCTTGAAATAACATCAAAGTGTCAAAAGAAAACATTCCTTAAAAGTCTCTTTGAAACAAGATTCAAAGTGTCACAGGGGAAAAACGCTGAAACAAGCATTCAACTCCTGCAATTTGATAATTCCTCTGTTCTCCTCTGGCTTCCTGTGTGCATGAAAAATCAGCTTGTGCCTCTAGAAAGCTGCACTTCCAAAGAAATTGGATTTGCCAGGAGCTGCCCTTTTAGACCTGTGGGTGAAATGTTCCTCTCGTGGAGCTCCAGCTCAGCTGGGGCTGATCCCTGTCCCAGGAAATGCCCTTTGAATTCCAACAGGAACTTTTTGGATGTTTACTGGGACAGAGGGAGCTTCCCTTGGCATCAGAGCTGCTCCTCTGACTCTCAACACAAAGGGTCTATATTAAAAAAATATTTATATTTAAATTATTGAATTGTTTCTTATCTCAAAGTCCCCCACTGGAAGTGCTGGACATCAAAGACATCAAAGCCAAGGCACAAGAGACGCCATTTCTTTGCAGAAAGGGCAAAAGAAGAAATCCAATAAATAAAAGGATAAAACCAGCCAAGACAGCAGCTACCCTTTGACAAGCTGGATAAGCAAACAGGAAGGGAAAACCACTGTACACTGCTAATTAAACAGGAAAACAATTCTTGCCAGCAGTTTGAGTGATCACATTTCTCTGCTCCTCTCTCTGCTGCAGCTGAAAGAATTACACTGAATTGCTCCTGCTATTAAAGGCCATTAGAGTAAAAATTATGCCTGTAAAAATGACACCTTAAGCTCTCGTATTTCTTCCCTCCCTGTGATTCAGCAGCAATTTTCCTCCACTTTCGTGTCAAAAGATTTCATTTTATTTCCTTTTCGCCGGGGCTGCTAGCAGAACTTCCCCTGTGCTCAGGGAGTGGAGCTGGGCTCCTCCTGTCACTGTTTTGGGTGACAAAGTGCCCTGAGCAGGGCGTGGGTGACAATTGTGGGATGGGGAGGGAGGCAGAGGAGCACAGCACCCACTTCTCCAGAGCCCAGCAGGGTTTCCATCCTAAGAATCAGATAACAGCTGGGAAGAAGGCTTGGAAGTCACAGTTTTTGCAGGAGCTGGTGGTTTGATGTATGTGGTGGCCTGAGTGTTTAAGCAGCTATTTATTCACTAGGAGAAAAGTAATTATATCTGTGAGATTATCAATAGTTTTAGTCAGAGGCTGGAATAAAGACATGCTCTGTATTTCTGCTTCATTTCAAGGCAGAGCTGTTTTCACAAGGAATATCTGTTATCTGCTGCTGTGGCAGTGTGATGGATGAACAGAAAATGCAATACATACACATGATTAATACCATGTCCAGGCCAAATTAAATATTAATTCTCTCTATTATCAGTCAAGTTTCTTGCAAATGTTCACTTCCCTGTTACCTACAGCAGAGCAGCTGATGTGAAACCTCCTCTCCTCTGCAATGACATTCTCCACTGAAGGGGAAACACAGGAATCCCTTCCCGGAGCTGCAGCTCTTCCAATAAAGCAAAGGTTATTATAACACTTCTCCTTTCCCCTATCAGACATTTGCCACAGGAATGAATCAAGTGCTAACATTTTACAGGTGGCTGAAAAGAAGAAATCCATCTTTTGGATGGATTTCCAAATCATCTGGCCACTGCAGAAATCACAGAATCACAGGGAAGGGACTTGGGAAGGGACCTTAAAGATAATTTAACTCCCCCCCAGCCATGGCAGGGACACCTCCCACTATCCCAGGCTGCTCCAAGGACACTTCCAGGGATCCAGGGGCAGCCAGGAATTCCTTCCCAAATCCCATCTCTCCCTTCCCTCTGGCAGTGGGAAGCCATTCCCTGGTCCTGGCACTCTCTTTTCCATCTTCCCACTGAAAGGTCCCAGTTTGGAACCACTGCAGCTCCACACCCTGGATGTGACTGACAGCAGCACAATCCAGCTGTGGGCAGTGGCGAGGAATTCTTTATTTATCCCAACATCTCCTCAATCCCAGGAAAAGCTGCCCTGGAGTGCTCAGCTCCTGCCTGAGGCCTGCTGAGACTCTGACCACACCACTGCTCCTTCCTCACCTCCTGGGCACTGCAGAAACAGAATCACTGAGCTGCAGCAGATCATTCCTTGCCCTTGGGGAGAAATTAAAGCATCTCCCTGGTTTGCAGCGCAGTTTGGAGCCTGTAGGCACCACCCTGCAAGGAGCTCTGTAGCTCTCACAGCCAGACAAATCCACCCCCTCCCTTATTAACAGCCTGGCTCTGGGGGTGGCCCACACTTGGAAACATTTGGTGTCATGTGCATATGGAAAATGATGTGCACAGCATATGTTGGATCATCACTGGGGCCAGGATGAGACACAGAACGCTCACACTGAGTAATAGCTCACCCCCCCCCTTCAATCATCTAGGAAAAAAGAAGCCAGAAGACAGGAAAACTGGAAAAAAAAGAAGATAAAAGGAGGGGGAAACTTAAAAAAAGAAGACAAAAGGATTGGAAAACTGTGGGTCTCTCTCCCAAAGTTAGGTGCAAGAGCCAAGGCCTCTGTCAGTGGGAAGTCACTGCCCTTGTCCTTGTCCCTCAGGGAATCCAGACTGGGACAGAGTCTCCAGTTGAGCCCTGACCAAGTGATGAACCTAAGGAGCCACCATTTCAATTTATTTGTGCCTGTGGGAAATTAATCCAACACTACTGTTGCTGGTATTTCAGTGAAAACAGGTTCTGGCCTCTGTATAACCAGATTTGAACATTTTTTTTGGAAAGAACAGCTCTTTCTATTTTCCTTTCTCCCACCAAGTAAATAAGCTTTGGGCTCTCATTGTGCCAAAGGAAACAAAGTTCTGCATCGTTGGTCCAGAAAAAGAAAACGTCCTAAAATGATTAAATCTAACAAAATTAAATTCTTATTAGAAAAACAACGGCCTGCTGGTGTTGAGATAATTACAACTGAGAAAAATGCTAAAGAGAACAGTTAATTGGAGCTGGATAAATTTAGCAGGGAACACAAACAAATGTATGTTGCCAAATGGAGAGAGAGGGCTCCTCCTGGGTCCCCGTGAGGCTGAGGTGCTGGAGGGTTATTGGCAGCGAGGGTGGCAAAATAAATGAAATATTTCTGAAGGGTTTGCAAAGACTGCTAAAGGACAGAGCATCCCTCAGCCTGTGGCCATCTGCTCTGGGATTTTCCTGAATGCTCCTGGAGCTGGATTCTGCAAACCCTGGGATGGTTTTCCAGGCAGGGACAGCTCCACAGCGGTGTCACCTCTCACAGCCTCGGGGACAGGCTCTGGCTGTCCCACCTGAGCTGTCTGAGACCCAGGTGAAACAGGGAATTTCCAGCCTGGGCAGAACTCCAGCTGGAATTTGGGGCATTTGATCAGACTGTAACCATTAATTATTGACAGCTGCCCCAGGTTTCATCGTTCTCCCCAGGAACAGCCGGGGATGTTCCACGGGGCACCACTGGGCACAGCGGCTTCCTCCACCCTGGGAAAACAGCCTGTGCTCCCAGCCATGGCCTGGGCACCCTCTGGGCACCCTCTGGGCACCAGCCAGGGCCTGTCTGTGATGCCATGGAAAGGGGATGAGCACGGAAAGCCGGGCTGGAGCGGGGGCAGTGCCCACCCTGTGCCCCCAGGGCCACGCTCCGTGCCCTGGCACAGGGACAGGGCTCTGTCATAGGCTGTCACCACAGGGCTTGGGAGGCTGCACAACATCACCTCTCCCGCAGGACTGTGCTAATTTGCTGGCTGAACAGTCCATTAATGGTAATTAATGTTTGCAAACAGCACAGCGAGCATCTGTCGCTCTGCTCTGCTCTCTGGGTGCATCTGCTGAGCTTTAGCCCTGGTTTTGCAGGGATTTGGGGCTGTGCCCGAATTTGGGATCACTTTGGGATCACAGAACACACCCAGGGCTGGTTTGTGGTGTGCAAATGTCAGCAAACAGAGCACCCCCAGGGACACAGCCTTGGGGGGACCTTGCCGGGCTGGGACAGCCAGGAGGATGCAGGAGGCAGGGAGAGGATGCTCCAGCTGCATCAAGGGCTGCCAGATGTGCATCCAAACCCAAACCCACAGACATTTAGGACCTGTTTGTTTCTCTGTTGTCTTCCCCAGCCCCCCCAAAGAGTTTGAGAAGTAATTGCGTTGTAAATTGGACTGCAAATATTGGAGGAGGAAATTGCCTCTCCTGACAGGTTCGCTGTATTCGGAGACTCCATCAGAGCTTCTGGGTCTGTTTATCTGCAGTGCAATTATTTTTTATTGCACTGGCACAGAGCATGGACATGTATGCATAAAACATGCAGTAAATAAATATTTCAAGGGTAAATCTCTCTAATATATTAGAATATCAAAGAGATGATGAAAAAGCTTAAGGCAGTGGCATTCAGTGGCATCCATCATTTGGATTCAGTGAGCCTTGAGATACCTTTGCTACCTTGGAAAATCCCTTTTCCAGATGAGACTGACAGAGGCTCTCTGCAGTATTTTTTTCTCTGTGTCTGAGCAGTAAAATCAGTTTATTACGTGGTGATTTTTCCAGAATTTCTCCAATGCCTTTGAGAATTCAAGCCTCAGTGCTTGTTTCTTGCTTTTCCAGAGGCAGCAGTGGAAATAGATACAAGACATTATCAGGTAAAAGTCTTCTCAAGCAACACCCTGTGAATCTGTTGAAGGGAACTGCTTTCCAAACAGAGTCTTTAGGATTAGATTAACCACCCAGTTTTCTTTAAAAACCCCTTAAAACTCACACCTGCATGCCCTGAAATAAAACAGAAGGCAGGAAATAGATCACGGAAAAAAAAAAATTACCAACTAGAAGCAGCACACTCCCATAAATTCTGAATGAACAGAAGAGCAAACAGCTAAAAAAATTGAATTAAGGTCTGGGAAGGAAGCAGTGCTGCCCCTGCAGCCCAGAGGGGATCCGTGCTGGGCTGACTCATCCTTCCCTCCACAAAAACCTCTCATTCATCCACCTGCTCTGCCCTTTTGGGGTCATCCACCACCTTCTCCTCATCTATCCTGGCCCCTTCACACTGCTCTCAATCAGGCCTCACCATGGGAAAAAAACAGCCCCAAACCAACAAAAAAATGTCAGAGAAATGCAAGTTTCTGCCAGGACCCTTTAATGCCAAGGGCTGAGGTGGAGGGGTGTCCCTACAGCATCAACTCCAAGCCAAGGCTGTCCCAGGATCTTGGGGACAGATGGGGACAGGCAGCAGCAGCAGGAGCTGCTGGATAAGGGGGGGTCTCCAGGAGAAAGGGGGAACCTCCTTTCTGTGCCCCCACACAGGAGGTTCCCCATCCCCTGCTGCAGATCCAGGGCTGAAATCCCATTTTTCCCTTCTTTCCACAACCCTCTCTATTTAATTAAGAGCCTGGAGAATCAAACTCCAACATTTCAGAGAGCAAGGTCACATCCAGAGCACCGTGCCCAACATCTGCTTTCCTGGTAATTGGCTCAGAGTGGCAATTTGTCAATGGTTGGAAAATAACGAGCTTCCCATTTGTGTTCCAGCCATCCAAACTTGCAGATAAGGACAGGAGCTGAGGCTGTTGGATGTCAGCTTCTCTCTGGATACAAAACTGCCTGAGCTGGTGCCCTGTCTCCCACCCCAGAGCAGTGCTGCCCATCAGTACAGAGGTTAAGCAACTTGTTTTTTGAAGTCTGGCTGCGCTCAGACTCTCAAGATGTTGAAATGCCACGTTTTTAAATATCAGCTGTCACAATGACAAGGATAATTATGGTTCTTTTGGCCCTGTTAGCAATACTAAGTTACAGTGTTTTTAAAGGTATTGAGATCTCCACACAGAACTCAAAAAAAATAAAAAGTTCTAAGTATTACCAGAATAGCCAAAATGTTTTGTTCTGAGTGTTTATCTTGTGAAAAACTCTTATGGAAGTTCTGCCATTTACCCTGAAAATCTGCAGACAGCAGTCAAACTGAATTGCTCTCCATAAATTATTGAGGCTTTGGGCTTTATTTTTAGGTGAAAAGTTTGAAAGAAAGAAAAGTTTTTAGGATCTCCCAGGAGATTTAGGCTGGAAAAGATTCAAGATCATCCTGTGCCCCATCCCCAGCTTGTCCCCAGCCCAGAGCTCTGAGTGCCACCTCCAGGGATGGGATCCAACCCTCCCTGGGCAGTTCCAGTGCCTGAGCTCCCTTTCCATGGGGAAATTCCTGCTGCTGTCCACCCTGAGCCTCCCCTGGCCCAGCCTGAGGCCGTTCCCTCTCCTCCTGTCCCTGGGAGCAGAGGAAATCTCTGCTGGAACAACCCCTGTGCTCCTCCCTCTGCCACAGCTCAGTCCCACCTGTGGACACATTCGAGGTGTCTTTACCTCAAGGAAGGAACAGAAGCACACCAGGCCAGTGCTGCCAGCAGAGCTGTGCACAGAACAACCTCACCATAAACCTCATCCCATCCCAAATTTCTCTGCCCTCACCAGGATTCTCTCCAAAACCAGCCACAGGGAGAGATTTATTGCTCTGCCCTTCCAAGCAGGTCCATCTTTACCCTCTGGCAGCTGAGGATAACCAAAAGCACAGCAGAGACTTCCAGCAGTGCCACTCTCCAGCTCGTACCTGTCCAGGGAGATGCAGCAGAGGTGCAGGATGGATGCTGTGGTGAGCAGCACATCCAGGGATGTCCGCACCAGGCAGAACATCTCTCCATAGATCCAGTTATCCTGAACCAGCTCGATGGCTCCAAAGGGCATCACCAGCACTGACACCAGCAGGTCAGCAAAGGCCAGGGAAACAATGAAATAGTTGGTCTTGATTTTCCTGCAAGGCAGATCACAAAATGAGGCTGGGTTTGGTGCAGCAGCTTCCACACGTGGACAGAGATTTCAGCCTGAGGTTGGGTTTAATCTGCCCCATCACACTAAAAGCTCCTCTCTAGCACACTCCTCACTTTGTATGGTCACCCCAAGCTTGCTCCTGATTTTTAAAGCTAAATAAATGTATAGATACATTTTCCTGGCCTAAATACATCTTTCTGCTCACCCAGAGGATGCAAATGGATGTTCACAGGCCTCTGCATGTGCCTCAGCCTCACAGCTTGCACTGGAGACTCTGAGGTGCAGGAGGGGATTTTATTTTAACTTGTAAATGGAGAAAATCCTTCCAGAAAGCACTGAGAATAATCTAGACTGAAGCTGTAATTTTAACTTGAAGAGTACTTTTTAAATCACAACAATAAAATAGAATTAAATCCATTAAAAATCCCACGCAGCACATGAATAGAGGCTGTTAAATCTCTCTCCCTGCTCCTAAGGCTGGGCTGACAATTCCCAAGGTTAGCAGCAGCAGCCCTGAGACAGGAATTGTGACCCCCTCAAATCACGGGCAGAGTTTGCCAAGTTGTGCTGCTGCTGCACAGTCACAACCAGCCCTCGGTCTGTGCGGTGATGATGAGCTCATTGGGAAATTCCAGATGGAAAAGGGGCAGAGGCCAACCTGTTTCTCCAGGGAATTGCTGCTTAGCTGCACTTCCCACTGATTTGTCTGGTTCTCTAGGCTGAGAATGCGAAAAAGACGAGGATGGGAATTACAGCGGTGCCAGCGCTGCGGGGTGAGCCGAGGGCAGAGGGGTCTGCAAGGCAGGGACACCTCCCTCAGCTCCTCGGGACTGGGTTTGTCCCCCTGGGGCCACCTGGGTGGGCTCACCTGAGCTGCCTGTCCCGGCACACGGCCACCATGACCAGCAGGTTGCCCAGGATGGCCATCAGGATGACGGCGGAGACGAAGGAGAGCAGCACGATCTTCCCCGCGACGCCGAAGCCCTCACTGGAACTGGGAGGGAGCACGAGGACACCGGGGAGACAAAAGGAGAGGAGCTGCAGTGGCCCTGGGAGGGGTGGCCCAGCACTGGTGGTGCCGACAGCAGCCACTCCCCTGCCTGCCACTCACCACAACCCTTTCCATCCACGGCCATTCCCATTCCCATTCCCATGGCCATTCCCATTCCCATGGCCATTCCCATTCCCATTCCCTTTCCCTTTCCCTTTCCCATGGCCACTCCCATTCCCATTCCATTGCCATTGCCATTGCCAAGGCCATTCCCGTTCCCGTTCCTTTTCCCATTCCCATTCCCTTTCCCATTCCCATTCCCATTCCCTTTCCCTTTCCCATTCCCATTCCCATTCCCTTTCCCGTTCCCATTCCCATTCCCATTCCCTTTCCCATTCCCATTCCCTTTCCCTTTCCCTTTCCCATGGCCACTCCCATTCCCATTCCATTGCCATTGCCATTGCCAAGGCCATTCCCGTTCCCGTTCCTTTTCCCATTCCCATTCCCTTTCCCATTCCCATTCCCATTCCCTTTCCCTTTCCCATTCCCATTCCCATTCCCTTTCCCGTTCCCATTCCCATTCCCATTCCCTTTCCCATTCCCATTCCCATTCCCATTCTCGTTCCCATTCCCATTCCCTTTCCCATTCCCATTCCCATTCCCATTCCCATTCCCGTTCCCTTTCCCATTCCCTTTCCCATTCCCATTCCCACCCCAGCCAGCAGCACCCCCAGCTGCCCAGCGCAGGATGAGCCCCCACACCCCGCAGAAGCCATTTAGGAGCTGCCCTCAGCTGTTCCTGACAGTCCAGCTCAGAGCTCCTGAGTTCCCATTCTCTTTTCACACAAATAAATAACGTTATTTTCCATGCAGAAGCATTTTGTTGTTTGTTGGGGGTTTTTTTTCCTGTCGTTTTCCCATTTTTTTCCCAAGGTTTTAGTATCATAAAATCATAAAAGGGTTTGGGTTGGAAAGGATCTTAAAAACTCTTCTCATTCCACACCTTCCACTATCCCAGGCTGCTCCAGGTCCCGTCCAACCTGGCCTTGGACACTCCCAGGGATGGGGCAGCCACAGCTGCTCTGGGAATTCCATCCCAGCCCCTCCCCACCCTCCCAGGGAAGGATTTTTTCATACCTGTAACCTCAATTTCCCCTTTTTCAGTTTGAACCCATCGCTCTTTGTCTGTCACTACAGTTCCTGATGTGATGTGACAAGGACTAATGGGTTCAAGCTTTCCTCAAGACAAGCATTTTACATCTTGAATTTTGAAATCTACATAATGTTTTGCCTTTTCCTCTCTTCCCTTCACTCTGTGCTACAAAACACAAAATAGTCTGGCTTTCTTTTTCTTTTTTTACTTAGTAATTTTTCCAGAGTTAGGGAAAGGGAAATTTTTTTTTTCCATGTGTCCAATTTCCCCCTACTCTGAGATCAATAATTTCTTTAAGTTAATGAAGAGAAAGAAGAGACAAAGGAAGAATAACACAAAACCTCCAAACACAGTGTCAGCCATATTTTAAATCTGCATTTCTACAAATAATTTCCTGTTTCAAATAAAATCTTTTGTTTTTCTTTTTTTTTTTCAGAGCTTGCAAAGCAGGAAGGTAACACCCAGCATGCAATAAATTCCTTATAAACCTGGTTTTATTACAAAATTTTGAGTTATTTTTCCTCTAAAGCTATTTCTAATGATATATCCTGAATAAAGTGCATCCCAAACCTTCACCTGCTTGTGTGACTTTACATTACACAGGTGAGAACGGGGGTTTTACTTCTTATCAAGTTTGGCTGGAGAAAAACTGGCATTAAAAGCATCACTCAACACTAATTCAGCAGGGAAATTTCTCCTCATCCCACAGAGCTGGTGTTGGACACCCAGGATTAATGCTGTGAGGTTGCTCAGGTAATTGAAAAATGGAACTGTTATTCTGTTTTACCTTGACTGACTCTGGGGTCACTTTTTATTTACTAAATGACATCCCAAGCTTTTTACACTTTATCCCACAGAGTTCTCCCAATTTGGAGAAAAGCTAAAAAAGATCAGAAACTTCTGGCACATGGAGATGTTGAGTTTTACTTGTTCAAAGAAGCTCTGGAAACACCAAAGGAGCGCAGCCCTGAACCAGATCTCTCCAGATATCACCTGGGTTTGGTTTTTTTTCACCTTCAGGAGTTTCAAATCCACATTTCCCACCCTGTGCATCACAGACAGCCCTGCCCTGGACAGAAGTGGTCACCAACCAAGCTCTGAGCAGAGCCCAGCAGGGCAGGAACTGCCCCTGGCACAGTTGTGAGAGGAACTTTTGCTCTGAAATCAGTTTTGGGAGTGTTTCTCTCGTGCCATTTTGCACTGCTCCCCTGGGGAACATTAAACCTCACTGGGGTGCAGGAGGGATTTCATCTGGGCTGCTCCTGCCTTTGGAATAATCCATCATCAAGCAGGAATACATGTTAATTATTCAGTTTTAGTAATTCCAAGTTGTTAATAATGGAAGAAGTGGATATTGCTGTAAATTAAAATCAATGGTTTGCATAACATCTTTTATCAAATCGGAGTGCTCTGGCTTCCAAGCTTGCTCCCCTCTTTAATAAAGCAGAGATTGATGGGTTTGCTATTATGAGGAAATGAGATTCAGGCAAAATGATTGCTGGTTAGCAGGAATATAGAAATCACTTAAGGAAAAAGGTGAAATACTGATGGGGAATGAATGCTTAAAACCCACATATGGACATATTTAAAAAGCTCTTCTACACAGTCATTAACGTGAAAGTAAAAAGAAGGGTAATTACTTTTTCAAGCTCAATTTTCACTTTCCTGTAAACACCCCAACTTTTCTAAATGAACTCGAGTGCTTTTGCATATTTTATGTGGCAGTTAAAGAGCACAGATCAGTCATGGGGGTCAGAGCACGCACATTCCCTGGTTCTCATTCCACATCACAGCAGCACAGAGGGGAAAATCCCTGCCAACAGCTCCGTGCTGAGAGCGCAGAGAGGAGAGAGAAATAATTCCAGCCTTGGGGGGCAGAGGAGCAGAGCTGGTACAAGGATGGCCCATTCTGGACTGGAAGGGATAACTCTGCCTCCCCAGGGAACCCAGAGCATCCCCAGGCACCGCAGGGAACATTCCCCAACAAGGGATGTGCACAAACCTCGCTTGAGGAGATGAAAAGCTCAGAATAGTGGGAGCCTAGGAAAGAGTTTTATTGGTTTAACCGTGCCCTCGGTTGTGGGGAATACAGGGAAGAGTTGATTTGTTTCCAGCCAGGGCTTTTCCCTCTGTAACTCCACATCTCATAACCACAAATAAGCTGTCATTGGCCTCTCCTCTCTCCTGTTTCCCTGATTAGTCCTGGGCATAAAAAGAATCGTTAGGTCTTAAGCAGCTAAAAATCAAGATAAGCTATTTTATGAGTAAACGTGATAATGCGTCTCAGTACAGAAACATGACAATAGGGAAGTGATGATTTGATCTCTGCCTTTCCAGCTGTTACCATATCCTTTTCTAAAATATTAATCAGAAGTCAGCATTAATCCAGAAGCATTTAATTTCCTTTAATGCCTTTAAATGCTACACTGCTTCACTTCAGCCCGTGCAGATGGCAGGATAACTCCGAGCTGATTCCAGTCAATTACATCCTTCACTTCTGCTTTAGAAACAGATTGAAATTAATTAAAGTATTGAAAAGCCGGGAATAAACAGCATTCCACGTATCAAAATAACTTGGTCATGTGATTCATTTATTTGAGTGTTTTTTGGGGGGAAAAAAATAAATAAATAAAATCAATTGTGGTGGTGGGGTGTGAGGGAAGGGATGAGGTTTTTCTCCTTTTCTGCTGGTTTGAAACAAAATTCCTGATACCATCACCAGCCCTGCACCTCTGCTCCGTGAATCTCCCGGAGGCTGAGAGCTGCAGCTTCAGAGAAGTGTTTGAAGCAGCTGATAACACTGATTAAAACCAATTGTGTCAAGATGAAGCAAAGAAGACAGGCTATTTAAATGTTTTCAAAATTGCCGTGTGTGGGCTGGCACCGTCAATCCCTGAGTGCTGGGGTTTGGGAACGGGGACCTGCTGGAGCTGCCAGACACGGGGGGACCTCGGGAGACTCCAGGCCCTGTGGCTGAATCTTGGAATCTCCTGAGCTGGAAGGGACCCACAGGATCATCCAGGGCAGCTCCTGGCCCTGCACAGACCCCAAACAATCCCAGCTCCATCCCTGGAGCGCTGTCCAAGCTCTCCTGGAGCTCTGGCAGCCTCGGGGCCGGGACCATTCCCTGGGGAGCCTGGGCAGTGCCAGCACCCTCTGGGGGAAGAACCTTTCCCAAAATCCAAGCCAAACCTCCCCTGGCCCAGCTCCAGCCCTTCCCTGGCTGCTGTCCCTGTCCCAGGAGCTGCAAACCCTGAAAAATCCCCCCTTGGCCTCCTCCAGCTGAACAATCCCAGCGCCCTCAGCTGCTCCTCCATGGCCCCTCCAGACCCTTCCCATCCCCGTGTCCCTCTTGGGAGGCTCTCCCAAGCTTTAGAGAGATTTTTTTTTTCCATTTTGGTGCCCAGGGCTGGAGGGAGCAGGGCCAGGCTCTCACACGGTGCCAAACCCAGGAATCTGTGAGCTCTCTGTGCTCCTGCAGCCTCCTCAGCCAGCAGCAGCAGAACCTCGGGCCTTGGCTCAGTGGAAATCGGGGCTGAAAGCTCATCCAGGACAAGGAGATGCTTTATCGTGGTCTGAGACAGAGAGTTTGCACTTGGGGAATGAGGGAGGAAATAAAGCCAGCCCTGGCGAGCTCTGGGCTCTGCCTGAGCCCTGGGGGCTCTCCTTGCAGGGAATGAAGTGGCCCAGACACCTCTGTCTGCTCCTGCAGGACGGGACACAGCCCTGGCTCTGCTCTTTGCCAGGCAGCAGATCAAGAGTTACATAATTTACACCCACACACGAGCAGATAGCGCTGCAGGGCTGATGTATGTGAGCACCATCCTCAAAACCCATTAGACTGTCACCTAAAATATAAGCTAAAATTAACTTCTGAAATCAGCGTGAGATTAAGATCTCAGTATTTACACGGAGCAAAGGCAGCTGCTGCAAAATACTTTGTTTTGCATCCTCTAACAAGTTCCACAGGAGAGCCCTTGTGCCACCCAAGTCTGACACATCCACCTGGGCTCTGCAGCACCTTGGATTAGTCTTTTTTCCTTATTAGATATTTGCAAGCCTTCAAACTTGAAGCCAGCTGTCCCCTTCACGTGCTGAACGCTCCCCTTTTGTTTTCACATCAACTCAACACTTTGGGATATGCAGCAGAATGAGGATGTGGAGCTGCTGCAGAGAGCCCAGAGGAAGCACCAGGATGCTCAGAGGGATGGAGCAGCTCTGCTGGGAGAGCTGGGATTCTGTGCAGAGGATCTTAATGGAATCACCAAACGCTCCGCAACAATGAAAAAACCCAAACCTCTGATTTAGGCAGGGATTTAGACACACTACACAGAGCAGCAGAGACGTTGTAACAATCATTTCTGCTTTGTAAATGCTGAATAAAACCAAAGATCAAACATGCTTTTCATCAGAATCTCTTGATCAGTTCCTAATTAGAATTGCTCCTCCAAAGCGAGTCCACGGCCTCCACCAAACACAGCAGTTTAAAGTGAGCAGAGGATGATGAAAGAAGCAGGAGACCAATCCTGACTTTTGGTGTGTATTCCATAATCATAATGTGATTATCTGCCTATTTCCTAGGTGGCTCTTGCCTCTCTCCTGTCGCACACACGGCTGAATGTTCAACAACAAACCCCACGGAGCTGTGCTCAGGGGAGCTGGGGGAATGAAGCACTTCATTTCCAATATTCTCAATAATTGCCTTTAATTTCCCTTCCATATTCTCCAAGTGCTGAAAGCAGAGTCCAGGGTGTACTTCTGCACAAGAATGTTTGTAATTTGGCTACTGTATAGAATAATTTTACCTCACAGAGATATCACACACATATGCAACTCGAGCTTTAGCTCACTTTAGAAACAGGGAGGGACTGGATGCAGGTCCATGACACAGAGTGGGAAAATAAAGGTTTAGGCCCATACCAAACATACTCTGAGTGCCCAGATTTCTCACAGAATTGAGAAATTGAGAATTATTGCCTCCTGCAATACCAGGAGCAGAACTGGGGTGCACAGGGCTCAGAACTCTTCAGGAGTTGTGCTGCTGCCTCTGGGCTCAAAGCATTTAATGCCCTGTCTTATTATAACTTTTCCTGTAAAAATTCCCCCAAAATAAGCACTTGCCTGTGCCCAGAAATTTGTTACCTCTTAATCAAAACCCCCTCAGGCAGTTCTTAGTCATTCTCAGCATTCTCATTCTGACTTCTCTTTCTCAAACCTTTCTTCCCATCTTTGCCCAAAACCTGGGACTTGCAAGATGTTCAAATCAGCAACCATGAAGTTCCTGCTCTGCTTTTTCAAACAGTATCTTAGTCAGGAAAATATTGTTAAATGAGAGGCATTTAGTCAAGACCCTTGGAAAGGTCTTGGCATCAGGCTGGGTATTAAAATATCCAGGCTGTGCCCTTCTCCCACTGCCTGTTTACACAAATACAGCTATTGGCTGTCTAACTTCTAATATTTCCTGGAGAGTTTCCCAGTTTCAAGCCTCCAGAGGAACGAAAAAGTTCCTTGCAGTTACCTCTGCTAATGGAAGACTTGGCACAGACATAAAACATTGATTTCTAGAATACATTTTGACACCCCCCTCCAAGCCACACAAAAGCAGTTCCCAGGTAATTTTGAGCTTTACTATGAAAACCAAAGTTTGGTAAAGATAATTCCAGTGGTGGCAGCCAGAAACCTTCCAGCCCCTGAGGTTGGCCAGCTCATTTTTATGGCCCTCACTCTGTGGAGGCTCCAGACAGGTGTCCTCTCTAGGCAAGGACACGGAATGTCCTTGATTCAAGAGCAGAGTACTTAAATTCCTTGTTTTATTTAAACCTCCTTCTACATCCCCAGCTAAGTGCATGTTCTGAATACGCTCCACAAAGCCCTCATCACATTTCTCACTTCAGATAAACAAGAGAGGAGGTCAAGGTGTTTTGAGGATGGGAAGTGCAAGCTCTCAGCTCAGATGGAAGCCAGATGCCACCCAGCAGTCAGAACCAGCACATTTCTCCAGCCTGGGAAGCTCTGGGTGTGTTTGTTAATTGTGTTTAATTGTGGCTAAAAGCAGGGACTTGCTCATCTGCACAAGTCTCTGATTCCTGGAAATATCCACTCCTGGGGAAGAGGGCAATGCAAACGTGGGGACAAAGGGAATTTTTCCAGCCTGGTGCTGAGGGCCAGCCCTGGAAAGTCAAGGAAGGTGTTGTGGAAAGCCCGTCACTGCAGCTGTCCTGGGCAAAAGCTGCCAATAAGGTCCAGCCCATTTTTGCCAAGCCCTGGAGCCAGCCCTGCCCCAGGATATCCTGGTTTTTAGGGTGGTTTTCACATCCTTCCACAGCCTTTTCCAGATCTCCACTTACTGCCCCTCTGTGCAGAGACATCGGTGCTAAAAACGCA